CACTTAAGATAAAAAAATAATTTTTTTTTTTGCGAACGAAATTGATGAAATGCCTCTGTTTGAATTAAGGAAAAAATTCAAGAAAAAGGAACAAAACTAATTCAATCATATCGATAACATTTTAAAATATACCATCATTGATGGCTCGATTACTACTTGATATTACATATCAAGATGGCTCATATGGGTGGTTAATTTTTGTTTTTGAAATCATAATAATAAACGCATTTATTAGTTTTAAATAGAACTTATATTTTATCTGCATTTAAAGAACGTAGTTAAGTGGTTAAGAAAGTATATATAAATGAAATGAGGCCATAATATGATTACGAAAATCGCAACAACATAAAATTTCTACTTAATTTATTGATGATAGATAAATGAGTAAATGAATAATTGAGTGACAATTTCAATTTATGAGTGTTTTTGGAAAAAGAAATACGATTTACATACAATATATGAAATATAAATTTTTAGCATATATTCAGGCGATTACACTTTTAGTATGTACTAAAACTCTTATGATATCAAAAAAATTTTAACTATACTTTGGTATTAAAATTAAATTTAGTTGATTTTTTTATAAAAAAATATGTTGTAATAGATAATATTTTAGAAATATTTGTTAAATGAAATGATTAAGAAAAATATGAAAATAAAAAATTAATGAGAAAAAGGTATTCAAATGAAGTGAAATTTGATCGTGGTTATTTTGATCTTACATCCTAAATGTATGCAAGAAATATTTTTCAACAAGAAAATTATGTTGGCTTCCCATGTCTTTTAAATTTAGACTGCAATTTAATAATAATATAATACAACAATTTCTCTGTTTGTATGATTATATTATATAAAACAATTAAAGGGGAATCACTTAAATCGAACTACTTCTGTAATCTGCAAATAGTTTTTGGAAACAGGCAAAGTAACTAATGATTAAGTGATCGTTGGAAAAATTAGCTTAATATTGTATCTACGTTATCTGAAGACATTTGATATTATCTGGAAGTAGTGAAATGATTTATTTTAATTTTTTTTTAATAAATATTTGCAGTAATTTAAAATATCAAAATTTAATACGAATTTTACTATAAAATTCTTGTGTTAGAGTTAATTTATCATTATTTTATTCTTTTATCTTATATAATACAACTTGAAAATTGTTGTTAAGCATTTAATATCAAACTTTTATAAATTTTAATAAAAATTTTTTAAAGACTCTTCAATATTATCATTATTATTATTATTTGAAGCATTGAAAAAGCTTGAAAATTTAAAATCTTGGAAGAATTAAATATTTAAATTAATATAATTGTATGAAATTGTTGTGTGATATTTTATATTACATCGACGTGTACATAAGTAGAGTAACTTACCATTTTTGTAGTTACTTACTTTAAAAACAATGAAAAGAAAGAGAAAACAAAAAAAAAATAATCAACCAACGTAAAAAAAAATAAATAAAGTTGGGTCAAACCAATGGTTTGTATTGTAGCACTTTTCCGTTCAGCAAGTGAAAATTCTGCTTTTAAATACAGTCTATGTATACCTATCAAACTATTAAAATTATTTTCATTCATATACAAAACTATTTCTAGAATTGCATATATTTAGGATGACGCATATATGCAGTGTTTGAAATAAAGCAAAAATTAATATAAAAAGGGGTTAACATAATGCTCGATTTTAAGGTTTAATTATGTGAGTTAAGAAAAATAATTATATTTTTTAATTTCATGGAATTTACCGTTAGCTTTTTATGTTTATAGAAATTTGAAAAAGCTTGCGGTTTCGGAAATATTAGGTGTCAAAAATTCAAATTTTACAAATTTCAAGAGGCCATAACTTGAGAGGGGAAGGAGATGGAAAAAAATTTTCTTCTAACGAAATGAACTATTTGTTAATGTCTAAAAGCCCATAAAATTTCAAGCTTCTACAGGCTGGGGTCTAGAAAATAAACGACATCAAAAATTTGGAAAAAACGGACTTTAGATAACGGTAAATTTGAGCGGCCATTTTGTTTTTCTAAAGTTAACCTTTAGTATACCCCGCTAGGGGAAGTAAGCCATTGCCTTTCTGCGTTTGCAAAATTTGAAAAATCCTTATGGTTTCATTGCACTAAATAGTTAAAGAATGGCATTTTTAGGGTTTTGTGGGGGTATAACTTCTAAAGGGGGGGAGATAGGTAAAAATTTTGTTCCACGAAAATAAGTTTCTAGTAAAAATCTATGTACGTACAAAATTTCAGCTTTCTATCTTCAAGGGTGTAGAAGTTTTGTAAACAGACACACGGACGGACGGACGGACGGACGGACGGACGGACGGACGGACGGACGGACGGACGGACGGACGGACAGAGTGAAACTAATAAGCACTTTTTTTTCAAAAATTTTTTGGAAAAGTGCTAAAAAGAAGTTTTATTCATCTTTAAGCATATTATGTACACGTTCTTATATAACGTTCTTATTATTCTTATTCAATTTCACGCAACAATAACTGTGAAACAGGATAATAATAAAATAAAAATAAAATGTTGTAACAATTATTGTATACTCAACTTATAATAATAGGTGTATGTATTATTCATATTATTCAGTTACATATTATATTTTACGTGAGTATATAAAAGAATTAATGTTTCAAGAAAAATAAGAATATTAAATAAGAATATTTTCAATTTAGAAGACGCCGGTAAGTTTTACCTATGATCTAAAGTTTCTCGAAAATTTTTATAAATTTTCAGTTTATTTTATTATTGAAAAAGTTTAATGTATATTAGATATATTACTCAGGTCAAGCTACAGTTTTCATACCAATTAATATTACACATAAGAGACAAAACAATCATCATTTTGATTGAGAACACAAAATGCGGCTATCGAATAACCTAACCAAATCGTCATTATTAAAATGAAACAGGAAAAGTAAATGATGGAAAATTAGTAAGGGTTAAATTATACGGAAAAATAAGGAAAACATGATTGTTTTACGATAATTAAATTGCAAAAGTTGTTTACATTATTATTGCATTTATATCTTTTCTCAAATTTCTCAAGAATATTTGCAACAAAACCATCTACACATTAATGCATAAAAAATTGATGACTTTTCTGGGCTTGAGCTCTTGTTATGGGACTTTTTAATAATGAAATTTTTTTAAAATAATATCACATTTTTGGAGTTTCCTGTCTCTTATTTAGTAAATTTGTCACCGTTTTTATACTTTAACAGTATATCTTCATTATTTAACATTATAAACTCTTGCAAATTTTCATTATACCTTTGGAAATTCTACTCCTTTTAAAATAAGGAAAAAAAAAAAAAAACAACGAAAAAATTACTTTGTCAGCTTTATTATAAAAGAAGTGAAACGGTTGTTCAAACTTGAATAAAAATTATTAAAAAATAAAATTTTCAAGAGATGAAAAAATGAAAAGAACAAAAAAAAAAAAAAAAACAAATTAAATTTTCTTTAAAGAAAAATAATTTTCAACTGAAAAAATTCCATTATTTTATACGACATTTATAAAAGATTTCATTTAAATGAAAAAAAAGAAAAAAAGTTTAAGTGTGACAAATTAAATTTTATTTCTAAATTCAAAATTATTAATATAAAACTTTGCACTTGCTTTAACTTAAGTATTTTGTATAACAAAAAAGGGAAAATTATTATTATATTTTGAAGGTTATACCATAATTTAAAAATCATGAATTGAATATGATTAAGATTGTGATTCAGATTTAAAATTCCTTGAAAAAATTCCTTGAACAATATTTTTGAGCAGCATTATGAATATTAAGCGCTACTAGCTTAGGTCTCCTTAAGAGAGTAACACATTAAACAGCTTCGTGTTAGTTTGAAGAAGTTTGTAAATAGAAATGTTCTTATAATGTATGGGAATTCTGTTATACGGGAATAAAAATTAATATTTAAAATTAAATATGTATTAAAAGTTTCTTCCTGGAATAAATTTGAGTGAATAGTATAGTCTCAGTTATTCCTCTATATTGAATTTCATTTAATTTAATTTTCAACTAAATTTATTTAGAATTCAATTAAATTTATTTTTTACTAATAGATTGAATAATTTTAATCTCATAAATTGAACCTAACCTAAGTTATACCCACAATTTTTTAAATTGTTATTATTTAATTACAATTTGAAATTTACAATCTCAAATTCACATCATCACCAATTTTTAATTTATTCCTGTGTATATAAATTAAAAATATCAAGAGGTGATTTTAATATTCTAAAAAATGATTTGGAAATTTAATTTAATTCTAACAGAATGAGGACAATCAAATTTAAAATCGAATGGAATTTGGATACTTACAAATTGAAGTGAATTTCTTATAGAGTAGTTCAGATGAATTTAATTTTAGAACTTACATAGCATTTATTCAATACCTTTAATATACGAGTAATCGATAAAATTTGCAATGAAGAACGTATAATTTGTAATACTAAAATTTGATTTCAAGAACAAGATGCTTGGTTGGTGTCGTTTTGAAAAGCCGACCGCATGGCTGAAGACTAAAAAATTCCAATACTTTTAATATTAGAATAAAATGTAATTTTTTTATTTGAATTTTGATTGAAGTGTGTTTGTGTAGGCAAAATTACTAACAGTTATGAAATTTTTTACTTGTGTCAGTGTCAAATAATTATTCATATTTGTGTTGTTTTGTTCACACACACTTCTATGCATATCGTAATTTTGAATTGTTTTTGTATTTGTTTATTGATTTTAATAAAAAATGTATGCATTTTTATGTTTATCTATATGAATTAAATGTGAATTGAAAAAAAAAAATGTAAACATTTGATGTCATGAATGAATCAAAGTTATTTGTAGTCCGTTATCATTCGTATGTGAAGATCAAAGTTAATAGTGAAAAAATCGATTGCAATCTAAATAAATTGCATAAAAAAAAACAAACTTTTTGTATAAATACTAGAGATCACTTAATATTGAAATCATTTTAGTTGTGCTAATTCAACACAATGGAAAGAATTTTTAAAATATTTTTCGTTGCTTTAATATTTTTCATTAACGTGAATTATATAGTCGGATGTGAAATTAAAAAAAATATTGAACCCAATAAAGAATGGTGGCAAACAGCTCAATTATATCAAATTTATCCAAGATCCTTTAAAGATTCTGATGGAGATGGAATTGGTGATTTAAATGGTATGCATATAAATACATGGGAAAATATTTTATCCTAAAAATATTGATTTATACTTACTATTTTGTGTTTCTTCGTAGGAATTACGGACAAATTGGATTATTTTAAGGAAATAGGGATAACAGCTGTGTGGTTATCTCCGATTTTTCAATCACCAATGGCAGATTTTGGTTATGATATTAAAGATTTTTATGACATTCATTACGAATATGGAACAATGAAAGATTTCGAAAATTTAATTAAAAAAGCAAAACAAATTGGACTTAAAATTATTTTAGATTTTGTACCAAACCATTCAAGTAATGAATCAGAATGGTTTAAAAAATCTATTGACAGAGATCCAGAATATGAAGATTTTTATGTTTGGGAAGATGGCGTGGATGACCCTCAAAACCCTGGTAAGAAATTACCACCAAGTAATTGGGTAAGTTAAACATTTTATTCGTTATAAATAAATTTTATATAAATAAAAATAATTAAATACTCATACAATTCAATTATTATTTCTTTAGCGTTCGTCATTCCGGGGAAGTGCTTGGCAATGGAATGAAAAAAGACAACAATTTTATCTTCATCAGTTTGGTGTTCAACAACCAGATTTAAATTATAGGAATCCTAGAGTTGTTGAAAGAATGAAACATGTTTTAAGATTTTGGTTAAATAAAGGTGTTGATGGTTTTCGAATTGATGCTATATTAAATTTATTTGAAGTACCACGATTTCCTAACGGAACTTATAGTAATGAACCAAAAAGTGGTTTAACTGATGATCCTGAGGATTTTGATTATCTTGAACATATTTATACTCAAAATCAACCAGAAACAATTGATATGGTATATCAATGGAGGCAATTAGTTGATGATTATAAACGTGTTCATAATACTGAAACTAAAGTTATGCTTCTTGAAATTTATTCAAGTCCAGAAATTACTTCAAAAATGTATGGTAATATGAGTATGGAAGGAGCTCATTTGCCGTTTAATTTCAATTTTATTTTTCAATTAAACTCAAATTTAAATGCTAAAGATGTTAAAGCGGCCACAGATAATTGGTTATTAAATATCCCAAGTAAAAGAACTGCGAATTGGGTGGTAAGTTGTGAATTTTAAATATTTTTCTTTATAGTTGATTTTAATGCTTTTGTTTTAGATTGGTAATCATGATAGAAGGCGGATTGGAACTAGATATGGTTTAGAAAAAATCGATCATATGAATATGTTAGTAATGATTCTTCCTGGTGTTAGCGTAACATATCAAGTAAAATTGCAATTGTATTATATGAATGCTAAAATTTAAAAAAATTTTTAAAAAAATAAAATGCAGGGTGAAGAGCTTGGAATGTTAGATGGAATAATATCTTGGGAAGAGACTGTTGATCCTGCTGGTTGTAATAGTAACAGTTCTATATATGAAAAGTTTTCAAGAGATCCCTGCAGAACACCATTTCAGTGGGATGATACTAAAAATGCAGGTAAAATATTTTCAGGTTGGATTAAAGCTTTCATTAAATTTTGATTTCTTTGTAGGATTTACAACAAAAGAAAAACCTTGGCTTCCAATGGCACCAAAATATGAAGAATTAAATGTAAAAATGGAATTGGCAGCAAAAGAAAGCCATTTGAAAATTTACAAGAGTTTAATGGAATTACGTAAAACAAAAACAATTAAATTTGGTGATTACAAATATGATGCAATTAGTGATGATGTTTTTGTTGTACTCAGGTATAAATAACATTACTTGATCTTAAATAACATTAAATAATATTAAATAATATTATTTAATATTAAGAAAGAAATATTGAGAATTTAATAAAACAATTATTTTTATAGGACATACAAAGATTTTAAAATCTTATTAGTCGAGAATTTCAGTAATAAAGAACAAGAAGTTGATTTGGTAAAAAGATTTGGTGCTTTGCCAGAATTAAATTTGAAAATTAAAAATTTAGGTTCCAATAAGGATTTGGGGTAATTTTATTTTAAATTTATTTTACTCACTTCTAATACTTATTTATGTTTCAGTGCAAATTTTAATGTGGAAAAATTAATTTTAAATAAATTTGAAGCTTTAGTTTTTACAACGAAATCACTTGAATAAATAGAAAATGAATAAATAATTTATTATTAATTTTATTATTTTATTTTACTATCAACTAATTGAATTATTCATATTTTTAATCATATATGTATAATTTTTTAAATATTTCAAATTAAATTTTGTATTTTTAATGAAACTTATGTGAAGAATGATATTACGAGTATAAATGTAATGCATGACCTTATTGAAGTTATAACCTTAATCTCTGGCAATTATTATTGTAATTAAAAATTCCACTTTAACAGTAGTTTAAATTTCAATGCTCATATTTATATAATAACTAGTCTAGAATATAATAACTTTTGTGTTCTAGGGATTTAAACATTTCATATATATTTAGAGCTTTTCGATTACATGTTATTTAATATTAACTTTCTAATACTTTTTGAGTCTTATTAATATATGAATTTTGTCTTGTTTATTAGTTTAAAAAAAGAATAAACTAGCGTTTTAAATGTGATTTTGAGCTACATTCTCTCCCTTAATTACGCCACTTTAATTCACATTCTTAAATTTAGTTTTCGCTTTAATATAAATTTATTATAATGTAGAAACAGAATTTCGGTAAGGTTTTTATGATTTCGTAAAGCTTTTTTTTCTTTTTTTTTTTTGCATATATTTAGGATCTATATTGGTCAAACTTTCGATGCAAATAAGAGCAAACAAACTTTCCCAAATAAAAATTTTAATTGAAAATATTCCCTTTTTATTGGAATAAAATGTTGCCTATTCAATTTTTTTGGCTTCGAAAAATGAATAATTATGTTGTAAAACCGTTATCATAAGGTTTTTAATTAGAGCAAAAGCTTAAAAGTTTATTATTGTGCTTTATAGCAGAATTTTTAATATTAATAATATAAGAGCTTTTCTTGAGAAAAATTCCTTTTCTATAAATTCATAAAATACAATTGTAAAAATTAATTTCTAGAATTTTTATAAAATGTTTAAAATATCCCAGAAAATATTTAAAATATTCCCAATAATTTTTTTTGTAAATACAATTTTTTATATTTAAATAATTGTCACTACCTGCTGATTTCTAAAACGAATTTTCTAGTTATTTTCTTTTAATATTTATGTCAACAATATTGTATTAAAATTAACAACAAACATCATTGTAGACTTACTGTAGTATCTCCCCATTTTTCTTTGTATTCAAATAAAAAAAATTGGCTTTTCAATAAAAAAAAAAATACATAAATAAAAAAAGAAAAATGTTCTATGCAATCTATGTTTATAACGTCAAATTAGATTTTCCCTTTAAAAATAAATTTTTATATCATATACAAACCATCATCCAATCCACCCATTCAATTCATGACCCGGAAGCAGCAAACAACTTAAACGGTATTTTCCTATTTAAAACGAACGCTTTTATTTTCTTTTCTTTCCCCTGTTATCGTTTTTGTGGTGTAGTGACAAAGAAAATAATTTTTTGTATTTTTTCGTTTCGTTTTCGGAAATCTCAAAACATTGCGACACTTAATATGGGGGAAAGCAAAACAGAGTTTTTTCTTTATTTATTTTAGTTTTTTTTTTTTTTTAGAGTTCCATATCTTTTTGCGATTTTAGCTATAAGCTTGTACACATTTGTCATACGTGTATTCCATTTTTAGATTAGGGTTACCCACTTAATCATTCCATAAAAGTTATATGAAATTTGAACAGAATTTCTTAGACTTTTAAATATTTTCATTACAAAATGGAAAATAACTTGAAATATATTGCGCAAAATATTGCGAAAAATTAGCACTGTTTTTGAACAAACTAGATTAGCAATACATAATTTGTTTAAGAATACAATTATAGCGCAGCTTTCGCTATACATATAACAATATACTCCGTTTATGAAGGGGCCTATAAGTTTTGGTAGAAATTAATATTTTTCACAAAGTAATTTTTTAATTTCCGAAATTATATAAATGAAATGTTTCTTTAAATAAATCTGAGTTTATTTTTAATAATTGTAATTGGTAATCCTAAAAATAAGTTTTGCTTTTTATACAAAATTTGTCGAATATTAAATAAGATTTGGAGTGAGTTTTAACTTTTATACTAGAGCATAAAGTCAGTCACTGTTGATCATTTTACGATTTCTTTTTGATTGTGTTTATCCAAACATTATCGTTGCTCTAAGCAGAGACACATTTCCTTCTCACCCTAGAATAAATGTTTTTTTGGTCTTTTTAAAAATTTTGGAATGAGTGCAAAAATTACTTAAGAAATCTACCTTGGTATCGCACGATGATATTTAACTGTTACGAGTTTTAAATCCAAGAAGTTTATAAGTTATTAAGAAGACACAATAAAATGTCACAGTTCTCTTTTATATCATTATCATTTTTTATTGATTGAAATATAAGAAAAACTTAATAAATGAGAAAACTCTTATAATTGTAGGCGGCATTTATAAGTTAGATATATAGAGAATCAGTGAGGGAGTGAGGGAGAAAACTTTTGCAAATAATTATGCTCATATTAAAATGTTGGAATTATATATATTTAATTAAAAAATTGTTATTATACATATTTCAAGTTATTTTATGGTTTTAATTAGAATTCATGTAGAATTATTCTTATATTACATTCTAGTATGAACGTAAGAAATCTGTTTCTTTGGAAATAGTTGGATTTATGATTATAGGTGTGTCCTATATGGTCGTGTTCATGAGTATAGTTAGACATTAGTTTTAAATGAAAAATATTGTTATTTTCAAAATTTGTTTTGTTATATAAACTTTAATTAATTGCATTTAGTTCTACATATTTATTTAGAATAAAAACGAAATTTTAATTAAAATAAAATTGAAAAATTTTATTAATATCACTAATTTTCAAATTATTTAATCGATTTTGATTCAATTATTTTTACAGAACAGTTTCTGTAGTAAGCACCAATGCTTCATATTTATCCAATTGTATATTGTTTGCCAGAATGGTAGAACTGAAATAAATAAATATAAAATTATTTTTTAATTAAATTGATAAAAATTTTTTGATTTAGTTAATCAAAGTTCATTTGAGGATGCAGGGTAGGTACACCATGGATTTATGTACCTTAACTAGTATTAAAGTTATGGAGAAAAACGTTAGGAGTTATGAATTTTTTCAAAAACTGAAATTTTTACTTAAATTTTTACACTTTCAATTTAGTTCTTGATGTTAATTTTTAAAATGAAAATCCTAATAACGCCGGAATTCGCTTATTACTACGTACCTGTAGTTTAAAGGTTTTAGATTAAACTATGAAGGGTACGATATCTAATTTAAATATTCATTCTGAACCTAATTTATCTTACTCACTTTTTTTCGATTTAAGCAATTGTTTTAAAAAGCATAGAAGTATTACTTACCCAAGTTCTTTTTTAGATCCTAAATTTCTAATTTTTAAAATCAATTTATCAAGATTTGGGAAGCTCTTTGTTAAGTCGATTTTTTCTTCGCTATTACCAAAGTTTTCAATTAATAAAATTTGGGAATTATTATAGGTTCTGTAAATATAATTAATATTATTAATAAAAGTTAGATATTAAGTTTCAAGATCATATGAATCTAAAATGTTACCTTAATACAACGAATACATTTTTATCGACAGCATTATATTTGTAATTGCCAAATTTTAAAGTTTGCTTTTTACGTAACTCAATTAAACTTTTATAGATTTTTAAATGACTTTCTTTGGCTGCCATTTCAGTTTTTATATTTAATTCTTCATATTTTGGTGCCATTGGAAGCCAAGGTTTTTCTTTTGTTGTAAATCCTACAAAGAAATCAAAATTTAATGACAGCTTTAGTCGAACATTATGTTTCGAAAATATTTTACCTGCATTTTTAGTATCATCCCACTGAAATGGTGTTCTGCAGGGATCTCTTGAAAACTTTTCATATATAGAACTGTTACTATTACAACCAGCAGGATCAACAGTTTCTTCCCAAGATATTATTCCATCCAACATTCCAAGTTCTTCACCCTAAAAAAAATAAATTTTAAATTTTCAAAGAATACATACCATATAATCCTTTCATAAATTACCTGATATGTTACACTGACACCAGGAAGAATCATAACTAACATATTCATATGATCGATTTTTTCAACACCATATCTTGTACTGGCACGCCTTTTGTCATGATTTCCAATCTAATATCAATTTATAGTGATATTAATAAATGAATTTTAAAATTTCAAATAGCAAAATTTTTGATTATTTTAAACTAGTTTTTATGTATATATATGTATGTACTTACAACCCAATTAGCTGTTCTTTTTGAAGGCATTTCTGGTAACCAAGAATCTATAGATTTTTTAACATCTTCTGCTGTTAATTGAGAATTTAATTGTGTAATTAAATTAAAATTGAATGGTAAATGTGCTCCTTGAGTTGTTACATTTCCATAAAATTTCATTGTATAATCGGGTGGTGCATATGTTTCAATTAATAATACTTTTGATTCTGTATTAAAAATTCTTTGATGCTCATCGAATACTCTTCTCCATTCATATACTAAATCTATTGTTTCTGGTTGATTTTGTGTATAAATATGTAATAAATAGTCACTCTCTTCTGGATCATCAGTATAACCACTTTTAGGTTCATCCAAATATGTTCCATTTGGAAATCGTTCAATTTCAAATACACATGGTACAGCATCAACCCGAAAACCATCGATACCTTTATTTAACCAAAAACGTATAACATGATTCATTCTTTCAACAACTTTTGGATTTCTATAATTTAAATCTGGTTGTTGGACAGCAAACTGATGAAGATAAAATTGTTTTCGTTGTTCATTCCATTGCCATGCACTACCACGAAAACCTGCCAGCTGAATATATACTATTTGAATATAAAGAAAAATTGAAGTGTTAATAAAAATTTACTTACCCAATTACTTGGTGGTAATTTTTTTCCAGGATTTTTTGGATCATCTATACCATCTTCCCAAACGTAAAAATCTTCATATTCTGGATCTCGTGCAACAGATTTCTTAAACCATTCTGATTCATTACTCGAATGATTTGGTACAAAATCTAAAATAATTTTAATACCAAGTTGTTTTGCTTTTTTAATTAAATTTTCAAAATCTTTCATTGTTCCATATTCCTTTTGAATTTCATAAAAATCTTCAATATCATAACCAAAATCAGCCATTGGTGATTTAAAAATTGGTGATAACCATGTTGCTGTTACACCAAGCTCCTTTAAATAATCAAGTTTTTCTGTTATACCTATACATAATAAAATATTTACATATATTATTTTTAATAGAAATTACATAATATATTCTATAATTGATATTGAGGTTTATCATTTACCATTTAAATCACCAATACCATCTCCATCAGAATCTTTAAATGATCTTGGATAAATTTGATAAAATTGTGCAGTTTCCCACCAATCTTTACTTGGTGCCACTTCTTTTTTATCTTTACATGCAAAATTTAATTTCGCACTTAAAGCAATCAGTAAACCAAAAACAAAAGTTCTATGAATGAACTTCATTTTAAAAATTAATTCAGCTAAATAATTTCGTTCTCTAATAGCTAGCGCTATTTATATATTTTGTAAATTTTGTTATATAGTATAAATAACGTTATCATTTTATCAATTTTTATTATGAGTTTTAGTTTTGATTTTTAAGTATTTAAGTAAATATTTAGTGGAAAAAAAAATTGCAGCTAATCTAGACACTTAAATATTATATTAGAGAAATATTGTTTGCATTTTATAATATTCTACATTAAACTAACCTTGTTAACATGAATGGTTAACTAAAATCATGTAATTTACAAATATATTTGTTTTAATAATACAAGTATTTTTGAGTATAAGTATACGAATAGGTCAACATATGTTATACAGTGCTGCACATGAGCTTAATAACAGAAACATTTCATGTGTTAATTACGCTAATAAGACTTTAATTAATTTTAGTATTATGTAAAATTATAATTTTGATATACAAAATGAATTTTATTTTGATATACAAAATTCAAAGCTGTTTTGTCTTGTCATATCAGTCTTTTTGTCTGTCTGTCACAATGAATACTTTAAAATTAACTTTGTAATAATTATGTAGAAAATTTTACCAAATCATTTATAAAAATAACAATGAATACATAATTTAATTTGGATGTAAATGAAGTATATTGGTTGGAATATTGCTATATCGTACAATTTCAAGCCTAATGTCGACATTTTATTTCAGAAACTATTGGGGCTTAAGGATTGCATTTTATAATTACATATATAATTTTTTGATAAAGTTAATCGAAAATTTTAATAAATGCAAGAGATTAATTTAAAAATCAAAAATTTATTCAAATTTTTTAATTAAATTTAAGTAGCTTCTTGTATTTAAATATGAAAAAAAAAGTCATAAATCTTTCACAAAATCAAATCAATTTTTAATATCACGTTTTTTTTTTTTTTTTTGTTGTCTTGAATACTTTTATGTCAAATATTTTGTAATTAGCGAACGTACAAGTTTTGCATAAACATTAATGTTTACTCGTGTGTTTTGTTCTCTTTTATCATAATTTCGTTTAATCTACATTGTAGACTCTCTTACAAAATATTCTTACCTATACATATATACCATATTGTAATTTTATCAAGAAGAAAAAAATCTTTGAATTTCAACAAAAAAGCCTTTGAATTCAAATCATTTTTGTGTTGTTGCTTTCTCTTACATAATAAATATAAAATTAATATAGTAAATTTCATTTTCAAAAATAGACACATATTTAACCTGCCACTATAATATTATCAAAAATAATTAAAAAACACTAAAAAGTTAAGATTAAAATTAAAAAAGGAAAAAAGAGAGAGAAAAAAAAAATATGAATGGAGAACAAAAAATAGAATTTTATAGCTTTTAAATTAGATAATAAAAATCTCATCAAAAAACTTGAATATCCTTTAATAATAAGAAAAAAAAAAGGGATAATACAATTAAATGAAATCAAACAAATGAAGAAGAAAAAAAACAAAAAAAAAATAAAAAGGATACAAAGCCTATGTTGTATAGAAAATCAAATATATAACGGGTATTTATAGATTTTCATCTTTATTCAAATTTAGTTTTTCATTTGCTACTTATAGTTTCCGTTTTGTTTTATATATGTATACATATGTATATACTCTTAAATATAACAATTTTTTTTTTGTCACATTTCCCCCAACTTCATTACAACTCTTTGTAGGAAAACTAAATTACAGTAAGAACAAAATTGATTTTTAAATAAGCTTAAGTAATAATTTTGGATTTCAATGGAGATTGCAAGCTATCTGTTATTGTAATTGGGAAATCCTCTATTCTCAGTAAATTTATTTTATTTAGCTGGTATTCTTTATTTTTATTTGGCTTTTTTAAATATTAACCCATTAAAGACTGTTGGAGGATTCAATTAAAATTTTGATTATTTCACTAAAACAATAAGAAAGCTAATATTAATAATTATGCTCTTGTAGATTGTATAAAATGGAAGTAGATTCGTACAAATTTGATTTTTGAGTATTTTATTACAAAGAAAATTATCTATTTTTGTGTTTTTTCAATATATAAACAATTGACGTCAATACCGGTTTGGTAAAATTATAAATTTAAAATAAATTTTTTCATTTTATTCCCTATAGTGAATTTATTTATTAGTAAGACGCTTTAGGTTATCATAATACCAGATCATTAAAAATGGTCTCATTTGAATTTGAAATTCAGTTAAATAAATTTCTTTGTAAAATATCTAATTATAGTTTATACATCTGGAAATTTTATTGGAAGTAATTTTGTATACCATAATTATTATTATGTAAAATTCACTGCTAATTCACCATACTATGTAATTTATTGAAGTGAAACTGATGTGCTAGTTCTACCAATTTACTAAACATTTGGTTTTCTAATTTTTTTTGCATTTCCGCTAATTCGATACTAAAAAAATATGTGTACGAGTTTTATTTTCGCTGTATTTTCAATGAATAAATTATTAAAATCAATTGGTATATATAACATTTTTGTCCACATTCACCATAATGTTTCCTTTATTTTATTCACTTTATATTCACCAATCTAAAGTTTAATAAGTATTTTAAATAAATAAGAATTAAATTATAAAAATAAAGCATACGTAAGTGCTTGTGTTTACTAAGATAATGTAAGTTTTTAGAAAAAAGGGTTTTAATTGCTATAAACGATTCTAATTCAAGATCTATATTGTTGATAGTATATTATTCTCATTAACTCCTTATCAACATATTACGATAATTAAATAATATTTACGAAATCCACATTTTTAGTTCTATAAAGAAAAATAAGAACATTGCATATGAAATTTTTGATTGAATTTATGATATTTATTTTTCTATAATGTAATTATATTTATGTTTTTAACTGTATAACAGTTTTGCTCTCAAAATTGTAAAATAGAATATTTGTTTTTCTATATTAAATATTATAATCAAATATTTTCATAGTTTTTGAATGAATGTATTTAAGTATATGTAAAATTATATGTATATTATATTGTTATATAAGTTGATTTACTGTTATATAAGATGTTTACGATATGAAAATTCATTAAAAATTTTCTTTTCTTATTCACATTTCATTTAAATAACCGAATGGTTGGCAGGAGTAAAAAGAATTCTGTGTTCCGGATATGGTAATTGTCTTATTTAATCAGGTATAAAATTTATAGTTCGAAACTGTTATATTTAATTAGATTTATAAAAAAGGAAAAAAAAACAAAGATATAGAGAGAGAGAGAGAGAGAGCAAGTGTTTAACCATTAACCACTTTGTTTTGAAATCCTTTTTCTTTTATTTTGTTTTTTTTTTCTACAATTTCTTTCTTTTTGTTTGTTATAATAGCTATAGAGGGCGTGCGAATAACTTTTTAAAATAATAATACAAAAAAAAAAACAAAAACATATCCTTAATAACTATAAAAGAAAAATCTAAATGTATAAAATTTACGATTTCTTTACAATAGGATTTAAATATTTTTTCTGTTTCTTATTTTTGATAGTTTTAATTACAGTTCAACATACATGTGAATTTTATATATGTATATAACAATATGTTATTAAGTAAATATATTAGAATTAAAATATATATTATGGCATATATGTAGATACATGTAATTTATAGCTATACTGAAAATAAGTGCGTGCATGAAGAAAAATATGTGTAAATTTTATTATTTTAATTATCTGAAAAAGATAAGGGTAAGGGTATTGTAGGCTTAGAAATAAACTTTAAAGTAAGATGGAAAAATAAGATTTTTAGTTTTTTCTTTTCGTAAGTGGATTTACTGATGGGAATTCACTGATTTTCAGTGTGAATTTCATTTATATTCATTTACACTTTGATAAAGATTTTTAACACTTAGTTTTGTTTTTTCTAATGTTACCATATTATAAATGTTTTTAATTTGGTACAAAATGCAAGCGGTATACCGAAAATTTATTAAAATAATAATTTAAAAAAATTATTTTTTTTGTGGTTTTTGTGGTTAATGTTTCCGTTTTTGATAAAATTTATTAGATCGGCTATGAACGTAAAATCGATTCAATTCGGTTTTCAATTTCCCGATTAAGGGAGCAATAATTATGTTTCCAACTTGCTTGCAAATTGTTAAAATACATGATAAATGAAGTATAAATCATAAATTATATTATTGTTAGTATTTCGATTATATGCTTATATAGATTATTTTTTTTTGAACGTTTGTTAAATCTATACAGTTTATATTATGTAAACTATCTGGCTATAATTTTGGGAAACAATATTAAACATGTAATTGGTAGTATTCCGGCTAAAATGTTAAATATTTTTCGTCAAAAAGTAAACCCTAATAAACGCAATATCTTTAAGAAGTTTCTTTTTGAATTTCTTATTCGATTTTATAATAGCAGGCCCATTAGAATTTAATGTGTACATTTTGAATAACTTCAAATTGATAATCTCTCCTTAGAAAATTTAATAAAATTATAATGGTCACTCTATAGTACATTTTATAAGATAATAATTGTAAATAAAAAAAAGTTAAAGAACTAAGAAAGAGAAAACAAAAATTTATTGTTAAATCTTTATAAAAGTGTGCGTATAACATTAAATGAAAAGGATATTTACACACAAAAAGAGAAGAATGAATCCTTTTCTTTTCTTTAATTATTATTATATACATCTTGATAAGAATTTTATTTTTAATCAAGAAGGACATATGCATATGATTATATGTATAAAATGGTTTTTATTTACTTACTTTAATTTACATACAAACATACTAACATGAATTATTATAAACATAATAATATTACGGTAAATGCTAATAAAATTTTCTTATTAGAAAGAAAAAATTTTTGTCCTTATTTTTGTTTACCTTCAATATTTGGGTTTTCCTTTTTGTTTTTAAATTAATATTAAAAAAAAAAAAAATTAAAATTCTTTTCTTGAAAATTTTTTTATAGGTAAGGGTTTATTCCTTTCTTTATTCCTTTTTCTTGTTTAATTTCTTAGGATTTTATTT